CAATGGTGTGACTTTTTTTTTTTTTTTTAAACAGCCAGAAGGAAATCTTGGCAAGATTAGTAGACTTCCCCATGCTGTTGACACCACAGAAAGTGACCACATAAGGGCACTGATGATGCTGGGCATCCATGATATCCTGGAGCATGTCTACAAGGCACTGTGGCTGTAGAATCTGCACCAGGGACTCTTAGAGAGCTTGCTTTACAGTGGAAGTCACCGTGCTGAATGCCCCCATCACCTTACCTTCCAGCTTGTTGGCCACAGATTCAGAGTTGCACTGCAATGTCTGCTGCCATGTTCTTAGCGATGAGATGGTCATGCATCTTGTCCAGCAGAGATTCCATGTCTTCACGACTCAAGCTCTTCTAACCCTCAAGGCCCTTCAGCATCCCAAACATGCCACCCAGAGTCCCCTTGGTAGCACTAGGTTTGGTGGAGTTTTGAGCAGCCCCTTCGTCATCTGAGCTGCTGCAGTCTAGATCCTGAAGCTGCCTCCCAGACCCAGTCCCTCGAATCAAGCTGATGTCCTCGGGCGGGGCCCCTCAGGGGCTCCACTGGTGGTGAGAGTGCAATAGTCCAGGACTTCCCTGTTAGCAGTGCCACCCAGTGCCCACATCCGGGGCACTTTTTTGCCCTTCTCCTTGGGAGCATCTGACTTACTGGACTTTCCAGACTTCTCCATACCCCTCCCATGCTTCTGAATGAACTCTTCTCACTTCCTGCGGATCAGTTCCTTTTTGGAAAGTTCTATCCCATTCTCAGGCCCCACTGGGAGACCTGACTGTTCTGCAGGGACTGCTTTGCTGGTAGCCAAAGGGCCATCAGAACCTTCCTTCTTGGCCCCCTTTCTTTTTGTTTTTTGCTGTTGTTTTTTCCCAAGGCTTTTCAGCCTGTGTCTCTTTTTTCTTTTTGTGAATTTTATTTTATTTACTTTTTTATACAGCAGGTTCTTATTAGTTATCCATTTTATACATGTTAGTGTATATATGTCAATCCTAATCTCCTAATTCATCACAACAATGGTGTGACATTTTGATGACAGGACACTCAGATGTACAAAGAAGACATTATTTTTTTTTCCCATTTCCTGAGACTGATTTAATCTGTCTCATGAATCCACACCTCAGGGAGTGGGAACTGAGAAGGGAGGGGACAACTTGCCAATTAGGCATCTTGGTCTGCTTCCATTTCAACTGCATCTAACAGATAAATATTCAGTCACCTCATTAAAAGGACCATTTCTCCCTTCCCTCCCCCTATGTACCTTAGGGAAGGGTCAGTTCTCAGTCTCGCAACCTACTGCCCCCCCCATCCCTCTCCTTCTCCTTCTCACAATGCACCAGGGCTTGAGGGGCGGGCATACCCTCTCTGCCAGGATTTCCTAAACTTCCCGGACAAGAGTAGCTGGGCACTGGCTTAAAATGTTCCTTCAGAGGCTCCCATCCTGGACAGTCTCATCAAGTAATTTGGGGTGTGACCCAGGAATCTGAGTTTAGTTCTCTCCCGGGAAGTTAGAGAAATACTGCTCTGTGCCATATACTGAGTTCTCTGTAGCCTGGCTTACAGTAACCTCCTTAATGGTCAAGTCCTCCAAGCTCACTTAAGGGAGTGGGAGCTTAAAACATTTATAAAATCATTTCTTTCTCCCCATAGCCTGTCTTTCAAGATTATTGCCTTACAAGGAGGCCCCCATCACCACCAACAAAGGGAAACTTGTTAACTGAAGGACAGCAATGCCTTTGTTGTACAAATTTGTATCTGTTCCTCTTCTGATGTTCCAGAAACCTGTTGATTCTGGCCTGGGGAGCCCCAGGGGTCAATATGATTAACGGAGCTGTGCTTTCAAAAATATATTTTAAAATCCCCATTCACTAATAACAATATCTAACATTCATCAAAAACTTACTATGTACAAGGCGTTGTGTTGCATGCATTCACGTATTATCTTCTTCAGTCTTCAGAGCAACCTTACACTGTAACTGTACCCACTTTACAGATAAAGAAACTGAGGTGCATAGGGGTTAAACAACTTTCCCAGGGTCACACCACTAATATTGGAAAAGACAGGATTTGAACTGATGTTTGGGTAATTTTAAGGGTTCTTTTAATCACAAAGATACTCCTTCCCTACTTGAGTCTGAGGCCTCTTGGAAACTGTCTGGTCCAGCCTTCCTATTTTATAGGTGTGGAGATCCAGGATGTGAGAGGGAAAATGACTTGCCCAAGGACACAGAGCTAGTCAGCAGCAAGGCTGGGAATGGACCCCAGGCCTGGAACTCCTGATCCAGTGCTCCACCCCTCAGCCTCTGTGCCTCGGTGCTGGCATCCGACATGCAACACACGACATTTAGTAACCGCTGCTGTACAGAGTGCTGAACTGCCTGAGGACAGTGAGAGTCTTCACGGGACCGAGATCTGCCTGATGGTTTCATAATTTCACTAGGTTCTTAAAATGAGAGGGGGCCCATCCAAGAGCTTCAATGCTGTTACACTGTAAATTTCTGTTCACTGATTTCTAACATGCACATTTCTTGGTATGTCTCCAAACCATCTACAGTCTCTCTGTTCTGCAGATTTTTAGGCATCTGGTGATTTTTAGAAAAAGGTATAGCTGGTGGCCCCATCAGGGCAGACCTGGACCCATAAACGCTTGTTTCGCCTTTGCAAGGTGCAAAGCCCTGAGGCAGGGAACTCCTTTGAGGCTGTGAGTAACTGGGGTGAGAAACCTTTTGACCTCTAGCCACAGGATCTTTGTCCCAGCACATTTCACAACTTGGAAAGGGAGCTCTGACTCCCAAGTGGAGGAAGCAAGGGAGTTCATGTTTAGTGAGTGGCTGCAATGAGGCCTGTGTTAAGTATTTAATTCCCACCTTCACCCTGCAATATTATCCTCATTTTACAGAAGAAGAAATCAAAGTTCAGAGAGGGTAATTTGCCTGAGGTCTCACAGCTTTTAGATCAGTTGACCTAGAATTTGAACTCAGAGTCTGCTGGACTCTGGAGACTCTGTAGGACACCATGGAGCCATCAAGGGTGAAATGCCACCTGCAAGTGTTACCAAGGCCTGTAGGTCTCACCATCTGCTGCCAGACATGGTTCTTGTTCATTCTCCGTCATTCTTGATGCTTCCCTGGGCTGCCAGTTCCTGATTATGTGCTACTCTTATCTGGTCATGCTTGTGCCCATCTCAGCTTTCATTTTCTGTCCAGGAGTTAACAGCCTTAATGAGAAGGTGTTCTAGAGGTCAATCACTACATGCACACCCACACTCTTTCTGAGGTACTCCTTACCTCAAAATTGCACCTGTCTGCCCTGGGATGGACACCTGACCAAGGTCAGTTCAGGTGTAATTAGCCCAGATGCTTGTGCTTTGTGGGGTCTTATTTAGCAAAGAGGAGCTGTTTTAATCAGATGTTTTTTCAAGAAATGGAAACTGGGTACTGAATCAGTAGTAGCACTTGAATTATAAAGATTGAGATTAGAAAGGGGACTAGGAAGTGGGAAAAGATGTGACGACCCACTTCTGAAATGATGAATAACTAAGACTATGTAGTGAGAAAAGAATATAGTATATGTGCAGAGAGTGGTAGAAAAGCTGCAAATACATAGATTATATATATTTGTATATATATATTATATATCTATATTTGTATATATAGTATATATTTGTATATATAATATATATTATGTATACATATATTTTACACATCCAAAAATAGCTGCAGTTCCCATGAGGCCATGCTGTGTAGCAGTTCCTGTTCTTGGATTCCCATAATCCTGTGTCCTTTCATTAAACCCCCCTTTCCTGAGGTAAAATGAATGGGTTTCTTCCCTTCCTTGAAACCAAAGAAGTTTTGTCTAGAGCAGGAGGAAACTTGAAATAATTTATAAGGTTTGAACTTCCTTACAATTGACAAAGGACACCTTTGGGTTAAGAGGTCTCAGAGGGCTCCAACCAACAAGTCACACAGAACAACTTTTAAGCAGTGAGTAAAAAGTAGTCACGTAGTTTTCCAGTTATCTATTGCTATGAATGATACCACCCAAACTTAGAGGCTTAAAACAACCATCACTCTTTTGCTCATTAAATCCATAACTTGGGCAGGCTCAACAGGGACAGCTTGGAAAGCTTGTTTCTGCTCCACCTGGCCTCAGCCAGGGTGGCTCAAAGGCTTGAGCCGGACTCACCTGAAGGCTCACTCACTTATGCACTCACTCATCCACAAGGTAGATTAGTGCTGGCTGCTGAATGGGGCCTCAGCTGGGGCTCTGTCAGACACCTACCCAGGGCCTCTCCATGTGGTTTCTCCCCTTCCTTGTGGCATAGTGATTAGGTTCCAAGAATAAGCATTCCCAGAGGTGGAAGCTGTATCATCTTTTATGACCTTGGAAGTCACATAACATCATGGACACACTCAGATTCAAGAGAAGAAAGCATACATGATGCCAACATGACACTGTAAGGAGAACATGCTGGAAGGGGTATATTGTGGTGCCCATTTTCAGAAAATATAATCTGTCACATATAGCTAATGAGCTATAGACATTAGGAGGATGGAGAAAACCCCTGACCTATGTTCAGACAAATGCACATTAAATCACTAACAGATTAAGAGCTTCAGTAAAATTGCTGCTGCAGTGAGACAGAATTATAAAAAGCAGAGAGAAATATAAAGTACAGCATGTGGGAACATTTAACGCAGGTGCAAACAGCCTAGTAGACCTCAGTAACCCCTGGGAGTCTCACTATCTAAAAGCACACTAATGCTGAACCTGAACTATCTGTTAAGAAGGGAGGGATGGGGTGATACACTTTGGAACAACTTACATCAGAAATCATTAAAATAATGTTTTGGTTTTTTTTTTTTTTTTTAATGTTTTGGTTTTTAAATGGATAACTTCAAAACAGATTAACTTTCTTTTGTGATGACAGATAAATATCACTATAGTATCCTATAATTATTTTATGTTTTACTTTTCAATAAGAAAGAGCAACCTACCTTATAGTTCTCTTGGAGATATTCCATTATCTCCTAGCCTCTAATGCTGTGCCAGATAAGTCTGCTGTTACTCTTAGCTCCTTTGTAGGTCATCTGTTTTACTTCCCTGGTTGCATTTAGGATGGGATAGTTTTTCTTTGTCTTTTGTGTACTGTATTTGCTCTTACATATATGTCTGCCTGTGGAATTAAAGAAAAATTCTGCTCAGAGTTCAATATTATTCTTCAATCTGATGATACATGTTGCATAATAAAGATTTTGGTCTTTTTCCTAGGTTCTGGGGAGGGAGCTTCTGAACCCGTCCTGATTTTCCTGAGTGATAGGGGTGTCTATGTTAACCATGGTGGTAGGGCCCTCAGACCACACCTGAGTTTATGTTAATGAGTGACTCAGGATTGGGGCTGGTCACAACAGAAAGACCAATAATGTGATTAGAGGGTTGGGGATTTGAGCCATGTGATATCAGCTCAACTTCCTCCTGGAAGAGAAGGTGGGCTGGAGATTGAGTTCAGTCAATCATGCATATATAAAGAAATCCCAATAAAAACTCTGGACACTCGAAGCTTGGGTGAGCCTCCTGGTTGGTGAATGTATTGGTGTCCTGGGAAGATGATACATCCAGATTCCACAGAGAAGGGGCAGGGAAGGTCCATGTTTGGTATCCTCCCAGACCTCATCCTATACGTCTCTTTATTTGGCTGACTCTGAGTTGTACCCTTTATAATAAAACCATAATCATAAAGTATAGCACTTTCCTAAGTTCTATAAATAATCCTAGCAAATTATGGAACCTGAGGGGGTCATGGGAACCCTGAATTTGCAGCCGATTGGTCAGAAGTGAGCATGGCCTGGGGACCCTTGAGCTTGCAGCTGGTGTAGGTAGAGTAGGGCAGTCTTACTGGGGACTGTGCCCTTAACCTGCGGAGGCTGCACTAACTCTGGGTTACTGCCAGAACTGCACAGCAGTACTGCACACATCTTTCTTCACTCTGGAAAGATTTCAGTGTTAGACACATGTGCTCAGCAAATACTACACTGGGTTACTGAAAAACCTGTAATGACTCCCCATTACCTGTTGTTCCAAGAGGAGCAAACTGGGGTTCCTCTTCCTGACATCAAAGACATGCCATTAACTATAGGAGAAATAATGTCATACCTTTGATATAGAAATAAAACAGTAAAAAATAGAGGCAGTGTGGTAGATGGCATTACTGTTCCTTTAGTGTACACTACTGGTGCTCGGTCCAAATTTTCTCAGATCTCTTTTCAGGTTCTGTTCCCTTTCCTGATTTCTGGGTGATTTTGTTTCCAAGAGCCATGCACCTGTGATTCTTTTTGAAGGGTTGGTCCAGGGCTGCTGGAACTGCTTCACCCACATTCAGAAAGCCAGAAGTATCCTTAGAACAGTCCTTAACCGATGACTGACAGCTGTGGAAATATGAAAGCCCAGCTCCCTTGCCTTGAGTTGGGATGAACTCTGAGGTATAATTTGTACCCAGAACCCCCTCTGGATAAGGCTCAGACCAGGACTTGGCCTGAAATTATACCCTTACTTAGCTTTGTCTCCTTTCCTGTCCTGCTCCTCCATTCCTTTTCCAGATTCTCCCAGAACACTTCCTTAATAGATCACTTAACCCACAAATCCTTGACTCAGGGTCTGCTTCTGGGAACATAACCTAAAACAGTTCCCTGTTATTCACTACCCAGCAGGTTGCCATGTGACTTGCAGTGCCTGGGGAGAGGCGGAATCTATTTCTCAGCCCTCCTTGAGTCAAGCTTGGCCACGTGATGTGCTTTGACCAATGGAATGTGATAAGAAGTATGTCACACATTACTTGAATCTTAAGAATCATCACATGGTACTAGAATTGTTTTTTTCTCTGGGGGAAAGGCCAAGATAGGAGCTGCTCCTTCAGCCTGGGTTCCAGAATAAGATGTGTGAAGCAGAACCATATTTGACGCATAGCTAACATGTAATGTGAGCAAGAATAAACCTTTATTATTGTAAGACACTGAAATTTGTGGGTTATTACTGCAGTATAACCTAACGTATGTAATACAGGCAGTGTAGTTAAGAGCATGTATCCTTGAGTTAAAGCCAAACTGAGGTCAAAGCCAAACTCTACCACTTACTATCTGTATAACCTTGGCCAACTTATTCAGCCTCTCCAAGCCTCAGTTCCTCCATTTGCAAAATGGAGATAGCAATGACATCTACCTCATAAGGTTGTTGTGGGGATTAAATGAGTTAACACATATAAAGTACTTCAAACAGTACTGATAAATGCTTGACTAATATTAACTAAAGTGAACTACAACTATGAACCATGATAGCACATTCCCCAGTTTTCAGTGTTTTCTCCCACAACCACTGAGCTTGTTGGTTGCCTCCCCAGCGTCCATTCCACTCTTCCCTCAGTCTCGATTTCTGTTTGGGGATCTATGTGGTTCTGAACTGATTTCACTGTGACTTCACTTGGCCTAAGATAAATCAAACAACTAATAGTGTCCTGGTAAACTGGATCCCAGGAGGGCAAGGAGGGAAGCCAATTTTCATGGTGTAAATTCTCCCTCCATGGCCAATTTCAAGCTACCAATGGTTTAACAACTGACTTGCAAAAATTTTGGAATATTTAAGTCACGTGGAGAGCCAGTACAAGCCGGCTCCAGCACACCATATGCCACCCCTCTAGCCATAATACATAAGCGCAAGCTCCTCCAATCAGTGAGAATCTCAGGACATCTGCAACTCTAATCAAACATAAACAATTCCCCTGAATTTTGCAAAATATAAAAGAGCTTTCCAAAGTGTATTAGGTTGAACATATGAAACCGCCAACACTAGTTTTGATCTACATAGAAGGCGATTTCATATGATTCAGGCTAAGGGATCAAATACAGAGGAAAATATGGCAGAAGAAAGAAAGAGGAAGGAATGAAGCAAGATGGAAGAAGGAAGGAGAGGAGGAGGAGTTAGATGCCACCAGAAGCAAATCTGAAGAACGACCATGTGGAGCTTAAAAAGAGATGGTAATCCTTCACTCCACGACGGGTATTAAATATAATTTTGGACAACCAGCTTCTTCATTATTCGATTACACACCTCTGGGAAGTATCATTACACCATACAAGCTTATCTAACATCTTCATTCTTTCAACCTTGTTTTCATAGCACTGAACCGTGATTCCCTCCCTTTCCATCAAGGGCAAGAAACTCAGAAAGGTCTGAGGAGAGATTTTTGGCAAGCACCTTTCGACAGGTTTTTGGGGAAACTCGGTCACGCTATTTGGGGAATTCCATTTCCCGTGGCCTTTTCCCTCGTCATAAATTTACTGCAGCAAGCTGGGGAGTTAGGGGCCCCAGCCGGGCGGACTCCTACACCTCTCGGAGCCTGAGGTAACTCACCTGTGCGGGGGGGGGGGATTAGAAGGCCCCTCAGGGGCTGGCCGTGAGGATTAAACGATAAAATACACTTGCGAGGCACGGCACTCGACAGGAGCCATTAAGTAGGACAATTTAAACACCGAGCGGCTCTTACAGAGCGCAGCAAGGGAGGAAAAAGACGCCGCCACCGCCCACGCCTCTGCCTCAGCCGCTTCCCGTCGGCCTCCGCGGTGGGCGTGGCCCCGCTTCCCAGAAGGGCCCGCAGGCGGGTCACGGGACAAGAGATCCGGCGCCAGCGCATTGAGGCGGCGGCGCCCTAGCCCCTGCCCCATAGCGGAGGAGTCCACAGTGCCTGTGCTCTCCAGCCACTTCCTACAGCCCATCCCATAGGAGCAGCATCTACACGTGGACACCGCACAGCCGGCATGTATACACTAGCCCACACCTCCGCACACGACCACACCCTCTGCTTTGGGCCCACACAGGGCACACACCTCCCCAGCGGACCAGAGCCCACGCGGCACGGCGCTGGGAGCATATGCAGAACACAACGCAGTGCATCTGCACACAGACGGCACGTCTCAACCTCCACACGGAGTGCAGAACTCCCAACATACACCCAGCCTTCGCTCTGCTCACCAAAGACATGCGTGCATCCCATGACACACCAAAAACATAGGACACACAACACACAGCGTACCACTTCACATGCGCAGACTACAAACACCATGTATTTTGAGTTGTACACACCCCCACATGGAGGTCGACTTCACACACACACACCACAACGCACTGGACCCCCTCACCCACGTGACATGCATACATTACACACTACACCAGACACAAAATATACACTTAAACCCCTGCTGTAAAGAACGCGCATTCATCGCCCACATGCTTATATTACCCATACCACACTAAATACGGCATGCTGTAGAAGCCCTGCGCATCCTACAGACACATGCATATATCACATCATTACACACTCAGCAACATATTCCCAACACAAAAAACCCCAATGTATCAACAGACCCATGCTACACCCACTGTGCACAAACATGAATAATCACACGTACCCACACCTCAGCACGCTGGACATGTGTATATGCCACACCAGACAAAAATCACACCCACACCTGACCCACTGAACCCCCAGGGACACCTGTGGTGCCCAGCCATCTCTGTGTACTTGAGACTTGTCTGATTTTAACACTGAAAGTCCTAAGTCCCAGGAAACGCTTCCATTTGGGGGAATCCAGAATGGTGGTCACCCCACACACTGTTCAAATGAATCAGGCCAGGACCCTCAGTTAATACCAGTGATAAAAGCAAGCTGCTCTGGGGGCAAAGAGATAGGGGGCCGGAGTGGCCCAGAGCTAAGGAGACCCTCAGGAGTGGCTCCCATCCACATCCACCACCACCCTTTGTCTATAGAAAGAGTGCAGCTAGGGAGGAAATGCCCTAAAAAACAAAGTTACTATCAGCACCTTCCAAAAAAAGGAAAGAGGCAGAGTCCTAACCACACCTAACTTTGGGGTTTTACCCTTGGCAAAGCACTTTTACTGAACTTACCTCATTAGATCCTTACAAAAACCTGTGAGGTAGGTAGTGTAGGTGCTATTATGACAATGATGCTGGAAAGCACAGGCACCTGCTTGAGGTCACACAGTACAGGTCAGGCAGAGCAAGTTTGGAAGAAGTCCCATCTCCCTGTTCACCCCACCCAGGCTTCCCCCGTCCTCCCTCCCCCCATCCTGGCTGATGCACAGCGGCTAGAATCAAGAAGCCACCTGTCTTGAGCCACTGCCTTCAAAAGTCTTTCATTCCCTCCCATTAGGGCAAGGTGCCCTGGCTGCCTCACCCTCAGGGTGGATTAGGCCTCTGCCTCCCTGCTGGGGTTTAAAGGACGTCAAAAGAGATCCTTGCATCAAAATAGCTCTCATAGGCCCTGTCTGGTAGCTTGAAATCACACCAGGAGAGACCCCTTTTAGGTAAAGGCATTGTACCTTGATGGCCCTTGTTCAAAATGCATCTGTATCCCTGGGAGAGACTTCCACGCTACAGCCTCAGCACCTTAGCTGGCGTTGTCTCCTCTGTCACAAAGTGCGTTGCAACAGACATTGCCTAATGCCGGCTTGCGGATGGAACTGGATTGTCTCTAGCAAGTCCTGTGGGAATGGGGCGCAGGATGACAAAAGTTTGATCGTGGCTGAGGGAGGGTGTGAGAAGGGTGCAGAGTGACCTGGAGAGGGGAAAACGGGACAACAGACGTACAGGATGTTGAAAAGGATGGGGACACACCCTTGGCAGGAGTGCAGGAGGGGACCCTGAGTCTAAGAAGGAAGGCAAAGGGAATGCCATGAGCTTTCTAGAGATGACAGGAAGTAGAAGAGGGCCGAGTGTATAGGGTGGGCATATATGGGGGTGGAGAGATTGGTGGGAGAGGGCTGTTTATGAGGAGGCCCCTGGGGAGGGGGCTGTTTGTGGGGGACATTCTGGTTCATTGCTGGTGGCACCCTGAGCAGGTCACTTGAGCATTCACAAATTATTCCTCTGTGGAAGTTGCAGAAGAAAATGTAAAGATGTGGGAAAATGTTTGTGATGTATTGATAAGTGAGAAAAAAGGAGGTTACAAGACAGGACATACAGTGGGATCCCTATTTTGTAACACTGGCTGGAAAGACACCAAAATGTTAGCTCTAGTTATCTCTGCTGTAGTGAGAATGACTTGCATTTCTTCTTGGAGCCTTTCTGTATTTTCCAGATTTTCTACAATAAACTTGAAATGTGATTTTTGTGCGTTATCAGGAAGGGTTCTTTTAGAGAAACGTTCATTGACTATTTATTGAGTTCTTATTAAATTCTGCAGTGCTGGCACCACACATGATGCAGAGAAAAGTAAGCCACGGCCATTGCTTTCAGATTACCCTTAAATCCAGTCATGGCACAGGGGTACAGTTCAGTGCACAAGAATGTGGCCACTGGAACCAGGCTGCCTGGGTTCAAGTCCCTCTTTTGCAGCCTCCTAGCTGTGTGACCTAGACAAGTGGCTTGACCTTTCTGTGTTTTGGTTGCCTCATCTGTAAAATGGGGATAATAATAGCACCTGTAAGGATCAGTTGAGCTGATACATGTGACCACTTAGAGGAGCAGCTGGCACAGGGTAATCACGACCTAAGTGTTAGCTGTTATTGTTATTAGTGGTTAAAAGATTTACCTCTGGAGCCAGCTTGCCTGGGTTCAAATCCTTGTTCTGTCGCTGTCTGGCTTGGGCAAATGATTTAATCTCTATCTCTACTTCAGTTTCCTAATTTTTTTTTTTTTTTTTGCGGTACGCGGGCCTCTCACTGTTGTGGCCTCTCCCGTTGCAGAGCACAGGCTCAGGACGCGCAGGCTCAGCGGCCATGGCTCACGGGCCCAACCACTCCGCGGCATGTGGGATCTTCCCGGACCCGGGCACGAGCCCGTGTCCCCTACATCAGCAGGCGGACTCTCAACCACAGCGCCACCAGGGAAGCCCCCAGTTTCCTAATCTTTAAAATGGGGATGAAAGTAATGGTATCTCATTCATAGAGCTGTTATGAAAACTCACCAAGTGACTATGGACAAAGTACTTAGAACAGTACCTGGCACATAGGAAGCGCTCAATAAGTGTGAGCCTCCTTAATACTAATTATTACTATTATTACCATTATTATTAATACTGGGGGAGGCAGGGATTAGAGCACCATCAACCAGAGCACCCTCTGTACAGCCAGTGGGGTGGGGGTGGGGCCCCAGCACGCATGAGACAGGCTGATCCGGGCCCTGCAAGATGGTTCCATCCACTCTCTCTTGCCTCTCCTGTGTTGTCCTCTAGCCCAGGTTATTCTGGTCCTTTAAGTTTTAAAACTGTAGCCCAGGTACCACTCCTTGCACATACACTACCACCTCCCTGATCCTTGTTTAGCTACACACAGCGTGGATTTATGGTGAGCTAATGAAGGCAGGCTTCCAGGACTTTCATTTGCGTGGGAAGTGCTCTGGCAATACTATATTTATAATTGTGTCTTCTTTTTCTTATAGAGGACTTCTATCATCACATAAACTTAAGCGCCACCTGGATCCTCCCTTGGTTTTAGGAAGGGGGTTCCTAACTCAGACTTCCAAGTCCCCATCTGCTGAAATCTAACCCCTTTCTTTAACTGGGCCTGGTCACAGAGACCTATCTGGGTAGGACTTTTACCTATGTGAGCCTGTTCTCCTTTGTTATTGGTGCATAGTATTTTGTGTCTCCTTTGCAGGCATAGCCTCTACCCATCACCATTTGGACTGGTAAGATCATGAATGAATGAATGAAAAAACGAAAAAGTGAGTGAGTGAATGAATATACTCTGGTTCTGTTTTGTTCTCAAGGAAAACCAGCAGAAAAATGGCTTAGTTCTGGGGTGGAGCAAAGCCCTTGGCAGACAGGACAAACTGGAAGGCCTTTTTTTTTTTGCGGTACGTGGGCCTCCCACTGCCGTGGCCTCTCCCGTTGCGGAGCACAGGCTCCGGACGCGCAGGCTCAGTGGCCATGGCTCACCGGCCCAGCCGCTCCGCGGCATGTGGGATCCTCCCAGACCGGGGCACGAACCCACGTCTCCTGCATCGGCAGGCGGACTCCCAACCACTGCGCCACCAGGGAAGCCCTTGGAAGGCCTTTTGAATCTATGTGGAACGAGAAGCCTCTGAATCTCAGGGTGGTTGGCAGCTTAGGAACATGATTACAAGTCTAGTTGGGAAAATGTTTTAAATCTGGAGACTTAACCAGAAGCTGAAATTGATGAATGGTAACAGGTCAGGGAGAAAGGAGCCCTATCGTACCTGTGTTCTTTATTGAGAGCTTGTGTTCTTACATTTAGGATTTACTAATACTGCTCTGCTGGCCCACTTTATTAAAGATTTTTGTTTGTATTAAAAAATGAGTGAAATTGACAAGAGAGGAAGCCTGTTTGTCTCAATGTTGGGCATGAACTCCCAGTATCTTTCTGGCCTTCTGGACTATATTTGAGGGGACTTTTCCAGGCTGTACTCAGAACCTCCCAAGTTATCCCATACAAGGCATTTCTTTTTTTTTTTTTTTTTGTTACGCGGGTCTCTCCTTTTTTTGCCCTCCCCCTTTGCGGAGCACA